TTAGGTTTCATATGGGGATTGGTTATTTTAAGAGTTCTTTTTTTCCTTTTACTTCTTCATTGAAGAGCTGATCCTGGTTATGAGAGAGGTGCTCGGAAATTTGTACGGGAGGTGGCTGCGGCGTTAGGTGACATTGACATGATAATATGTCCTTGCAAAGACTGTCGTAATGTAGAACGACAGTTAGGCAGTGATGTGGTAGTTCACCTTGTAACTAAGGGGATGGATGAGGCTTACAAGATGCAAGTTGATTGGTATCACCATGGAGACGTGAACTCAGTGGCTGAAGGTGAAAGCAGCAATGTAAATGACTGGAATGAGGAAATTTTGGAGTTATACAAAGCTGATGAGTTTTTTGATGAAGAGCTGGCTAGTAAGGCTGGATTAGGTGATATTCCAGAGGCTGAATTAGCTGAGATTGCAGAGGGTGAGGACAAGAGAGAAGATGAGTTCCTCGCAAAGCTAGCTGATGCTGAAACACCATTATATCCAAGTTGTTCAAATCACAGCAAGCTGTCCGCTATTGTGACTCTGTTTAGGATAAAGACAAACAACGGCTGGTCTGACAAGAGCTTCAATGAACTGCTTGAGACATTGCCAGCCATGCTTCCCAAGGAAAATGTGCTTCACACATCACTGTATGATGTCAAGAAATTTCTGAGGAGCTTTGATATGGGATATGAAAAAATTCATGCATGTGTAAACGACTGCTGCCTATTCAGAAAGAAGTATAAGAAGCTCGACAAATGTCCCAAATGCAATGCTTCGCGGTGGAAGATTAATATGCACAATGGTGAAGTAAAGAAAGGAGTCCCACAAAAAGTATTGCGATACTTTCCGATAATCCCACGGTTGAAAAGAATGTTCAGGTCTGAGGACATGGCCAAGAACCTAAGGTGGCATTATACTAACAAGAGCAGTGATGGAAAACTCCGTCATCCGGTAGATTATGTTACATGGGATAAGATGAATGACAAGTACCCTGCATTTGCAGCTGAACAACGGAACATGCGGCTTGGACTTTCAACAGATGGATTTAATCCATTCAACATGAAGAACAGTAAGTATAGTTGCTGGCCTGTTTTGTTAGTAAACTACAACTTGCCTCCTCACCTATGTATGACGAAGGAGAACATCATGCTAACGTTGTTGATTCCTGGTCCACATCAACCTGGTAATAGTATTGATGTATACTTAGAACCTCTTATTGAGGATTTAAACCATTTGTGGAATAAGGGAGAGTTAACATATGACGCATTTAGTAAAACTACATTTACTCTAAAGGCAATGCTTCTATGGACTATTAGTGATTTTCCTGCGTATGGAAACCTCGCTGGCTGCAAAGTAAAAGGTAAAATGGGATGTCCTATATGTGGGAAAAATACTGATAGTATGTGGTTGAAGTATAGCAGAAAGCATGTGTTCATGTGTCATAGAAAGGGTTTGGCACCATCACATAGGTATAGGGAAAAGAAGACTTGGTTCGATGGAAAAGCTGAACATGGGAGAAAGGGTAGAATTTTAACCGGTCATGAAGTTTTTCAAAACCTGAAAAATTTTAAAAATGACTTTGGTAATGTGAAAGAATCTGGGAAGAAGAGAAAAAGGATTGACTGTGTTGAATCTGTCTCTGATAGTGATGGTGTATCCAGTGAATCCGAGGAAGATGAGGAAATAGAAGTGGATGAGGAGGAGTTATCAAGATGGAAGAAAAGATCAATTCTTTTCAAGTTGTCTTATTGGGAGGTATGATTAGTGTTTTTATTTTCAGAATTGTTCAATTAAGGTACTCTTAAGTTGGGATCCTTATGTACTGTTTTTCATCTGTTTAGGATCTCCCGGTAAGGCATAATTTGGATGTAATGCATGTAGAGAGAAATGTTTATTATAGCATTGTCTCTACATTGTTGCATTGTGGAAATTCTAAGGACGGTCTTCATGCACGGAGAGATCTGCAACATCTTGGTATACGGAAGGATCTGCATCCTAACACACAAGGAAAGAGAACATACCTTCCTGCAGCACCATGGTCACTGTCCAAGGCAGAGAAGAAAATATTTTGCAAGCGCCTATTTGACTTTAAAGGTCCAGATGGATATTGTTCTAATATATCCAGAGGAGTTTCATTAGAGGAGTGTAAGGTAACAGGACTCAAATCACACGATTATCACGTATTGATGCAACAACTTCTTCCGGTTGCACTTAAAGGATTGTTACCAAAAGGTCCAAGGACAGCAATCTTACGCTTATGCGCATTCTACAACCATTTGTGTCAGAGAGTTATTGATAGAGAGGTTATTTCAGTAATGGAAGCTGAAATTGTGGAAACTCTTTGTATGTTTGAAAGGTTTTTCCCTCCCAGCTTCTTTGATATCATGGTACACTTGACTGTACATCTAGGAAGGGAAGCTCGCCTTGGAGGACCAGTCCATTTTAGATGGATGTACCCATTTGAGAGGTATAGTTTAAGTGTACTTTATTCTACAATTTGATTTGTATTGACTGTCTTTGATCTTCCTAAAAGTTATAACTTTGGATTTGCAGGTACATGAAAGTTATGAAAGACTTTGTACGAAATCCTGCAAGACCAGAAGGTTGTATTGCTGAGTCATATCTCGCACAAGAATGCATGCAGTTCTGTAGTGATTTTCTGAAAAAGACAACAAGTGTAGAAGAAAAACCAGAGAGGAATTTAGAGTATGTGAACAACTCTATGCTGGAAGGCCGTCCTATATCTGCTGGATCTTCATTTACTTTTACTGAAATGGAGAAGAATATTGCCCATTTAGCTGTCATTCAAAATACTGCAGCCTTGGATCCATATGTCGAGTAAGTTCTGTTTGTTTCATACATATACCTTGTCATTTACACTGTTAATATATCAGACTGATATTTTCTTTTTGTATTTCTCTTTTGCAAGCATGCACCTGCAATATCTTCAAGAATCAGATCCAAGGTGTATACGTGATGCTGGTTTCTTATAGAATATGCATGCTAAGAATTTTGCATCTTGGTTAAAAAAAGAGGCAAGTCAGCTATCTGAAAGTTATTTTGATTATGTTATGTACTAATAATTGTCTGACTCTCATTTTAAACATTTGGTAGATACCTCTAGCTTCAGCTGAACATGAAGAAACTATTAAATGGTTGGCATATGGTCCCCGATGTAGTGCAAGATCATATACTGGTTATATAGTGAATGGTCAAAGATTTCACACAAGCTCAGTTCAAAAGCAAAGTCAGAATAGTGGGGTTTACTATGAGGCAACTTCTATGTGTAGATCTAGTCCTAAAGATACTTCACAGGTTGTTGATTTGGTATCTTATTACGGGAGAGTCACTGACATCATATTGCTGGACTATAATGTGTTCTATGTTCCTATATTCCGGTGTCACTGGACAGTTAGAGGGAATGGAGTTAAGGTAGAAGATGGGTTTACTCTTGTAAACTTGAATCAAAGTCAAGTCAGTTTTTTGAAGGATCCATACATTCTAGCTTCACAGGCAAATCAAGTCTTTTATTCTAGGGAAGATGATTCATCAAGCTGGTATGTTGTTATGAGAGGTTCTTCAAGAAGATATAGTAAAGAAGATGTTCGGGAAGGAAATGCAGAAATTGGTCCATTGCCAGCAGATGTGAACATGGATGATGAAATGGATGAGTCTGAAAATGCTAGAACTGACTGTGAAGGCATATTTGTGCCAAATGTAGCCTTTTTTTCATTGTTATTTTGTCTTGTTTTGTGTTTTTTGTTGATGTCTGTTTACTCAAAATACTTGACTGTTTGATCTCAAATGTGTTGCTGCAGTTGCTTGTGGTAATTCCTTTTCTTTTTGATGCAGGTGATTTAAGATGGGTCGACCAAAGAAGAAGGGTGGAAAAAAAAGAAAGAATAAGGGTGCAGATGATGAGCTTAAATATATTGGTAGTGTGGAGCCGCAGACTATAGCAGCAGAGCAGTCTTTAAATGAGGAGCATCATGTATCAGATCAGGAACCCATCAGACAAGAGGAAGAAGCTGAAGGTGTTGCTGAAGAGACAATTCCAACTACAGCTACTGATCCAGCTGGAGTCAATGAAGAAGAACCTGAAGGTGAGGTTCAATTGAGTGATGAAACTGAGCCTCCTGCTAAGCGTAAGAGACAGAGAGGACCAACAAAGATGAAGAACATTGCCAAGGATCCAACTGTTCGTGAAAGAGTTGACTACACTCTCATGGGAGAGCCTATTGGTTCTGGATCAGTTAAGCTGGTATCATATGTAGGTACATTGGTACGGGAACACGTTCCTATCAACATTGATAGCTGGAAGAGTGTTAGTCAGGATATCAAAATAGTTCTCTGGAGATCTGTTCAGGTGATATCTTCTTTACAGTTAGAATAGTTTTATTTAGAAAGTAATTAGACCACATTTACTTTTCTTATTATGTTTTGATGGTAAGTGAATGCAGGCAAGGTTTGAGGTTGATGAGGAGTTCCAAAGGATTGCTGTGCTAAAGCAAATGGGGGGTCTGTGGAGGTCATACAAGTCACACATTGTCAAGAATATTAATTTGGCTCCGAATAACCAGCAAAGAATGAATCTAAGACCAATGAATATTTCTCCAACAGAATGGCGTAAATTTGTCAAACTCAAGACTAGTGCAGACTTTAAAGTATTGACTTGGAATTATGTTAGATAAATTTATTGAATGTTGATTATTAAAATTAATTGTCTTTAGGTTGTGAGTGACAAATATAAAGAAAGGAGGAAGAAACAGATACCTCACACTACAAGCCGGAAAGGAATGGTCAGGCTAGCAGAAGAAATGGTAAGCTTACACTATCTTTGTTGTTTCCTCTAAAGAAATATATCTACTCTGAATGGTTTTCTGATTTTCGCACAGAAAATTGAGAGTGGAGATCCATCTGAAGTGACAAGGCTAAAGGTTTGGGTGAAGTCGCGTATCAAAAAGGATGGTACGCCAGTGAATACAAATGCTGTAGAAAAGATTGTAAGTTGAAAATATGTTTGACTGTCTTCTAGAATATTTTCCATTGCTTCTCTTCCACAATATATGGATGTTGTTTTACAGAGGAAGGCAGCTGAGCTGGTTGGAAGTGATGCTCCAACAGATACAACAAATCCGGAGGAGGATCACCTCTCTCAACTGCTAGGACCTGACAACCCTGGAAGGCTGAGAGCAATGGGTAGAGGCATGAGCAAAACCAAACTAGCTTGTTTCCAGGTGAAGACCAAGTGTATGACTGATATGCAAGAGAAGCAAATTCAGTTAGTAAAAAAGGTGCATGAGTTGGAGGATGAAATTAGCAGAATGAAGAATCAGGTTAGAAACATTAAGAGTTCCCAGATTATTCATTAAGCAACTAATGTTTGAAATAGTTATTGAATTGACTTTCTTGTTCATTTTACAGAGACATGAAGCTGAAATTGGTGAAAACTCAGCTGCAAGAGTAAGTGATTCCTGCTGCTTGGTTTTGTTAGATCAGTTTTCCCTTCTGACCTATACTTGTTATTAACATTTTGTAGAGTGTAAACAAAAGAGCACACCCTAAGTGTGTGTTGGTTGACTGGTCGGGTTCTGATGATAACATTGGTGAGGGCCGTATTCTTTCTTCTGATCCTGATGACATAGTGAATGACTGTCGTCTAGGCCCGACAGATCTCAAAGTCTTGGTTGAAACTGCTACTAAACCTGATGCATTCCTGTGGAGACCTGCAACAAAAATGTTTACTATTGAGGAAGCTGTTGGACAAATTATTGCATGGCCAGCCTCTAAGTGTGTTCTTGTAGACAAAGAGCTTAATATAGAAGACATTGCGCCAACGGTAAGTTTTGGTCAGCCTGCTAATGAGTTGATATTTTTATGAGCTTTAGTAGACTAATTATCCTTTTTCTGAATGTGTTTGACAGGGCCTAAGAACAAATTCTTTGAACAAATGTAAACTGTTGGATTTGTCTACAGATGAAGTGATTGTTGTTGAGGGTCGTTGGCAGACACAAGAACCAACTGCATTAGTTAATGGTCTTCCTCTAGGACCAAAGGCTGTCAAAGTTTTTGTTGATTCAGTGCAGATACCTGAAACATTTATATGGAGGCCTACAATTGAAATGACATACCTTGAGGACTGCTTGATGGCTTTTGTATCATGGCCTGTGAATAAAGTTGTTTTTGAAAATCCTACAACTACAACTGGTCAGAAATCTCCTCTTCAGAAATCAGCATCAACTGATAGGCCATCAAGCTCTAAATCTTCAGATGAGACAAAGTCTGCAGCCACAGAGGTAAAAGCAGCATCAACAGTGTCTAAGTCTCCAGCAACAGGTTCAGAATCTCCTATTGAGGATGCAGGTGTTCAAAGCTCTCCTATAAAGAAAAATCTACCAAATCCACAATCTCCTCTCCGGAAATCTCAGGTATAAGTTTTGTAAATGTTATGAATTAAGTTTCTTATGTCAAGTCTTCTGAGTGTTGGTTCATTGTTTACATGGCAGCGTCTTAATCCAATTGTTTCCAAGGAAAATAAGAAGTGCAAGTTGATGGATATTACTGGAAAGAAGCGAGTTGTTGCTGAAGGACGCTGGGCTACAAACGATCCAGCACAGAAGGTTCACTTTGTTCCCTTGGGTCTTGATGATGTCAAAGTATGGGTAGATATTGTGAAAGTCAGCGATGCATCAGTTTGGAGGCCATCAGAGGAAATAGCCATAATGGAAGATGCCCTTGGCACAGTCATTGCATGGCCTGAGGACAAAGTGATCATGTCTTAAGGTTTCTGTCCTCCTACTACTTTGTTTTGGATACTAAGTAGAACTTGGTCTGAGACTTGTTGTGTGTGTTCTGGATTTATGCTACTAATTCGTTTTGGATACTAAGTAGAACTTGGTTTGAGACTTATTGTGTATGTTCTGGATTTATGCTAGTGTTTAATATATGTTGGATTTCGAATCATTGATGAATCAGGGTATTATATGAAACAGGTTTGGTGTCTATCTCAACCAGAAACAATTGTGATCAAAACGCATATAATAGCATCTAAATAACTGTTAGAAAAACTGCTATGTTAGAAAAGTCTATCATAGCTTTCAAAAGGGTAACCGATCTGTGTCCCCCTCAGAAGTTTCATATAGCACCAGAACTACACAGAATTCGAACCTCGATTTCGGTCTACACAAATAGGAAGTTCCAGTCCACTTTCCCCCTAATTTGAAAGATCGAAACGTGGTTCCACACGGTTGTTGGTTTTATCGGTTTATGACCTAAACTTGATACCCAACCACTAAATCATACCAAACCGAAGTAAAACCGGTCAAAAAACGGAAGGTTATGAGGACCTGCTCTTTTAACAAGAGGAAGCAAATCAACCAATTTAAACGGCGGTGACGTAAGCTAATCCGATCTGAAAAAGGACCATCGGAGGGTAACCTGCGCCGGCGGAGAGACATAGAGCTTTGTTGTGATTTTGGATGAATTCGAGATCGGAAAATCGGAGGAAGTAATCGGAGAAGGAGGAGAGACACCATTTCCAAGCTTTAGAGGACCAGCTTTGAGCGTTCTTCTTGGGGAGAGGAAGATGCTGGCGAGGCGATGAATCGTAGTTGGATCTAGGGAAGTGCGTATGAGGTTTCGATGGAGCTTTTGGTGAAATACAAGTTTTCGGCATCTGGAGAATGATAATCACCATTAATACTGTTCCGACCTCAATCCAGAGCTTGAACCCGGTTCAGTGTCAAAAATCGGGTCAGAATCAATCGTAATCAGAGTTTGCTCCTCCTCCATCGTTAACGATGATTTGAATTCGAAGTCTCAGCAGTTTCGTGTTGAGATTCATGATCCCATGAATCGAAATCAGAGTTTCTTCTCGGAGACATCGAATCACGAAGCTATCATCGATGCTTCTGCTTCGTTTGTGAGGGACATTGTGAAGGAGATGAATCGGAGAAGAACCATGTGTTGGTGTTGTTGGTCGGCTAGAGAAAGGTTTGATTCTGAAGTTCTTCCATGTTTTATAATTGATCTGTTTCATTGATGTGTGATGCCAACTCTTTAATGTTGTTGCTACTCTCTCGTTGAACAATGTTGGTTTCATCTTTGAACCCATCTTCACCAAAGAATCAATTTCGAAAAAAAAGATCAGATTTTGAAATTGAAAAGTTACAATTTTTATGTGTTTGTTTGTGTGTGTCACCTTCCTAAAGTCGTTCAAAGGTTGTATACTTCTACTAGTATCCTTGACGAGATTAGCTTCAAGAATGGAAACACAAGTACAATCGATCTAAATCAGAGATTCTAAGCTTATAGAACAGATCAACAGTCAAAGTAAACTTCCAACTTGGGACTGAACTAAGAGAGTCGAAACTACGAACGAAAAACAAAATTGGAGGTCGACGACAAACCTGAAATTCTGATCGGAGACGGAGCGATGAACCCTACAGTGATGAATTTCTCTCGGTTTGATTGTGATTTTTGGTTTAATCCGGTTTAGTTTTATTGTTATATGGTTAACGGTTATATGTGCAACAGTAATCCAATTGTAAACCATGATTATGTGTTTGTGGGTTTTGAAATTTGAAATTAGGGAGAAACTAAATTGGAACTTTCAAATTATGGGGAAAGTGGACTGGAACTTCCTATTTGTGTGGACCGAAATCGAGGTTCGAATTCTGTGTAGTTCTGGTGTTATATGAAACTTGCGAGGGGGACACAGATCGTTTACCCCTTTCAAAACGAGTAATTACATAATTTTTTCTTTAAATTAAACGCTATGATATACTGAATCATAGCATATACTGGAGCTATAAAAATTAAAACTAAAGCTTTTTAACATAGCTATAGTATAAACACCTACCATAGCATGGAAAATGACTAATTACATAATTTTTTAAAAATAGAAAATCCTGATAACAAAGCGTTTAGATAATGCTATGGTAGAATACTCTAAGATAGCATACATATCTGACGCTATTGTATGTGGGGGTTCTACCATAACAGGGGCCTAACATAGCATTTATGAAAACGCTATTGATTACTTATAATAGCGTTTTTCTCAAGCCAATAATGGAGATATTTCTTGTAGTGTAAAGACTTTCTATCGAAAAAGCTATATAAAGACAATCAAATACTCTCTCTTTACAATAACCACAAACAACAATACTTCTCTTGACGTATATCTCTTTCTCATCATCACCATTAATTACCTTCTTAACTCCTCTCTTCCAAGAAATTTAAACCCTAATCTTCAACCAATCCAGAAATGCAAATGCTAAGAACCCTAAGCACGAGGACAAGGAGCCGTCGTAGCGGATACGACCGTGTAAGCGATAATTCCACATTTAGCTTAATCGGAGCAAAGCTAAGGAGGTCAACTAGCGTTCCGTATTATGCTCCATCGATAAGGCTTGGTGGAGACTTTCCTGCGATTTTGGAAAAGCTTCCACGCCAAAAACCAACTAAGACAGTGGTGACAAGCAAATTGAGCCATCCAATCTTCAGTTTATTTGATGGTTATCGCCGCCGTAGCAAGAAGAAAGCGACGGCTAAACCAGAGTTCTCTAGGTACCATGAATACCTTAAAGAAAGTGGAATGTGGGATTTGAGATCTAATAGTCCGGTCATCTACTTTAAGTAGATGTATATATGTTATGATTTGTGTTCATTTATTATATTATTTGTGACAATCTTAGTGATATGATTGATCGATCTATAAGAGCTATCTTCAGTTTTTATTTTTCTCCCCTTGTAAATATACTTTTAATTGATCTATAAATTTAAAATTTCAAAACGAAATATTGGTTACATAACTAATTTGTTTATAATGTATGGAAAGTTTGTTTTTACGGAGTATTCATTGAATGAAAAAAATCTAGAGCTTACAATTGCATATCTCTACCCAAAGTAAATGATAATAATTGTGCAATCTAATGCTATCAATTTGGTGCCATCATATTATGTTCGAGAGAAAAAATAAGGGTTATAATATGACTGAGTTTATACTTATAGTGTGAACTAATTCTTATTTCTTCTTCCTCTTTTTTTTTTTTTTTTTTAAGTTTGTAATTACAAATTATAGTTTTTACATGCTCTTTTTTCCCGATCAAAAAAAAGTTCTCTAGTACTTAGAAACCTCCACGATTTGAAACTAAACTCAAGATTTGACTGTTTTGGATATGCAAGAGTCCACATATATTTCTTTTAACCAAATTTTGTGTGTCAAAATTCATGTTTTGCTTAGAGTTGAGTGACAATCATTTGGTTATATGTGATATACTAATATATAAACACATCAACCATGTACTTTTTTTTGGCCATATTTTTGTTTATTGAATATAACATGCAGGTTGTGTAACGTAATACGTAGTCTTTGAATTTGTTTTTTTTTTTGGTCAACAGTCATGTGTTATTCACTTATTCTATTGTTAACACAACGTTTATCATGTAACTAAATGCAAGTCCTAGTCTTTGTTAATTTTTTTTTTTTTTTTAGCGGGACGAAAGAATATATAAAACTAATGAGAAAAGAGTATACGACCAACCAAGTTTGAATTTTCCATATCGGCAACTTAACTTAAATAATGCACAATATGTTAACAAAACTATTAAGACAATCGAATACTCTCTCTTTACAATAACCACAAACAACAACACTTCTCTTGACGATATCTTTCGAATCATCAGCATAAATTACCTTCTTAACTCCTCTTTTTTTTTTTTTTTTTTTTTTTTTGAAAGAATGTAAAAATATATTCAACCAAAAAAAACTTTGTTACATTACATGCTTCCTTATATTGAAAGAGCTGAAAGGAATAGAAATATTATGCAGAACTCAACATCGGGAGTCAAACCATATTTGGAGCCCATCGACCATCTTGTGTGGGTCGTGAAGCCGAATGGAGGAAAGTTTGTTTCGGACTAACCGGTCCAGAAACTTGATGAGATGATCCGACGAGCTTGCAGGATCTCCGTGCCTGCGACGGTTCCGTTCAAGCCAGATAGTATGAATAGTTGCTTGGAAGACAAGCCTCATGATGAAACCGGTCGTCCCTTTGATAGTTGAAGAGGAGAGAAGAGACCGAAGCTTTGAAAACCGATTGGAGTAGTGACTGTGAAGAAGCTTACGAGTTAAAGCTGCCCAGATCCGAGAGGAATAAGTGCAGGCAAAGAATAAATGCTCAAGTGTCTCTGTTGGAGTTTGGCAGAAACTACATGACGCATTCACTCCTCTGTTCCAAGATAACATACGATCTCCTGTGGTAAGCCTATTTTTTGCAGCCAGCCAGAGCATAAACGAGTACTTCGGGACAGAGTTAGAGAACCAGATACCCTTATACCAATTTATTTTTTGCCCAGCTTGTCGAATCTGCAGCCATGTTTCAGATGTTGTGAAACGAGGCTTATACTTGTTGTCTGAACGTCTCCACAAAGCAATGTCCTTCTCTAAACATTGGCCCCTTTCTCTTATTTGTTCAATCTCAAGCTCAATCTTGTTTAGGATACCCTGCCTGTGACGTCGACCTCTGTGAGAATCAAGGACTGACGCAACAGTGGCATTTGATGGAATTCCTAGGTCTATGAAACCTCTCTCCCCAAGAATTTCATATAAACAACCTAGAGAGCACCATTTATCATACCAAAAGGATGTTTGAAGTCCACTTCTTACTTCCATCAAGTGAAAGTCTTTGGCTTGAGACCTATATTTGAGTAACTTCTTAACTCCTCTCTTCCAAGAAAATTTAAACCTTAATTAATTTTCAACTTTGATTACCAACAAAAAGAACAATAACCCAGAAATGCAAATGCTAAGAACCCTAAGCACGAGAACAAGGAGCCGTCGCAGTGGATACGAACGTGTACGCAATGATTCCACCTTTAGCCTACTCGGAGCAAAGCTAAGGAGGTCACCGAGCGTTCCATACTATGCTCCATCGATAAGGCTTGGTGGAGACTTTCCTGCGATTTTGGAAAAGCTTCCACGCCAAAAACCAAATAAGACAGTGGTGACAAGCAGCTTGAGCCATCCAATCTTTAGTTTATTTGAAGGTTATCGCCGCCATAGCAAGAAGAAAGCAACGGCTAAACCAGAGTTCTTTAGATACCATGACTACCTTAAGAAAAGTGGGATGTGGGATTTAAGATCTAATACTCATGTTATCTATACTTTAAGTATATATATATATATATATATATATATATATATATATATATATATATATATATATATATGTATAGATATGTTATGAATTGTGTTCATTAATAATTAGTTTTGTTTGTAAAAATCTTCTTGATATGATTGATATAATTAAGAACTTTATATGTGAACTAGGCCAATATAGTATGTACGGATTTTTGCATCTATATTTTTTTGTTGTTTAAATCAATTTCCATCGATTGAATCAATTTGATGAAATAATCTTTTTGCTTTTAAAAAATCATTTTGATTTATTTTTATAATTTTCGAGTAAATTTACATCCATAATTTGTTATTTATAGCAATTTACATCTATTGAATTAACCTGATGAAGTAATCATTTTAATATTTTTATTTTATTTTAATCATTTTGATGTATCTTTCTAATTTTTGAGTAAACAATTCATCTCAATTTTTTATTATTATATTTTTATTTTTGTTTCTTAAAAAAAAAATAGAGAGAAAACTAATTAATGTTCATTTGGTATCTCATCTTTGCCTTAAAATGAACCGTAAATTCAACTAATATTCATTGAAATTAATCCTATATATATAGTATATGAAAATATATAATAAATTATAATATCATATTATATAATTATGTTTATACTTTAATGTAATATAGAAATTTACTTTAAAAAAAAGAAATAAAATAATAACCGATAACATTGATTAATTAGAATGTATTTTCTTTAGCCGGATTAAGTTTCTTATTAGTGACATATCAACCCTAGAGAAAATCTTTCATCTATTATATATAGGATTATCTAGCAAAATTCAGAGGTAAGTCAATTAATATATCAACCAAAAACATTGGAGTGTCTTTTCCTTAGTGGGATTAAGTTTCTCATTAATGATCTTATTTTTATTAAGTTAGGAAGAAAGCTTTGGAGTGTTTTTTCTTAGTTGGATACCAACTTACAAGCACACACGATATAAAATAAAGGGTGAAGAAGAATAAAGTGTTTCAGGAGGAATATTTAATTTCTTGAATAATAATAATAAGGGAACTTATAGGAATAAGGAATAAGAGAAATGGAGATGAGACGAGAGAGTGGTTTCTTAATCAGGGCCATGCAGCAGAAGCAGAAGCAGGAGCAGCAAATGCTCTATTTCCTCTAACTCATCCACCTTTATCAACATTGATTCTCTAAGATCATCCATCAATATAGATATGTCTTTTCATGTCTACGATATAAGCGTGGGAATATCGCGTTCTCTCCTGATATTTTTTCTAGTCCGGATGATTCTGACACATGTGACATGTCTAAATATGCTCTTAAAAAAAAATTAAATCTATGGTTTTGATTATATCTACCGACGATAAAGATTTTCAAGAATATAATATCATCTTAGCATCTATGGAGTATTGTCCGTCTAGATTAAATGGGAGCTGTAAAATTGTTTATTCTTCAATTATAAAAATATTGTATGCATACGTTTTTCCAAATTAAGATTTCAATTCATGATTTTTTTTATTGACAAAAGCCCGATCCATAATTAATCTCTATTAGGCGGAGTAACGCGACTTAGTGAATCTCGAACTCCGGTGGAAAAGATAGAGTTAAATGGATTTAACCACTTGATTAAAGACATATCCCTCGATTTCACGGTTTATATATATAACTGCTAATTCAAAATTTTGGTAGTCTCCTAGAAAAAGAGTAGAAGAAAACATCATCAATCTTATATACTTCCTGCTAGAAAATGAGCCGTAAAGTCCAAGATGTTGAATGCATATAAGCGACATGGACAAATAAATACGAATCCATGAACATTTAATAACAGAAAAAAGATTGAAAAACAAAAACAACATAAAATAAAATCAAACAAACTAATGAAGATTCTTCATGATAAAATTAAATTCGTATATATCTTTTTTTTTTGGGACAAAATTCGTATATATCTATACCCTTGATATTGGTTCAACTGTATTGTAAGTTCTACTCTGATTCTATTAGATGTTACATACTCTTTGATTAAACTACATAGTAGATACATGATATAAAAAGTCTTGTAGACTCCTTCCACTGGGTATAAAACTATATATATTCTAAATCAACTTATTATATTTTCCGTTGGATCTTTAATAAAATCTTCTCTTTATAGCAATTATGTGCACTGGATAATGCGGTTGCGGCCACTTTATTGGTGATGACCAATTAAGCCACAAAACCAGGACAATTTATATTCTTTTGATTTGATTATATACATCATGCATAAACTATAGGGCCACATTTCTTTAGAATTGCGTTTATAACATTTGATACCGTCGCATTATGTCAAAACTCAAGACTAACACTTTTTAATAAATTATAATTACAAGAAGCTTTAATGATGAAAATTATTACTATATGTTATCCACAGAATTCGCTAAGAGCGGAAATTAGTATGTATATATCTACATGTAAATGACTTTGGAACATAAATAAATATCACAACTTTTTTTTTTTTGGGGGGTAAAGAAGAGATCATAACTTATTACAAAGGGAAGTGATTCCAAAGGCATATCTTCCGTTCTGTCTAATCTTATTCTTTGTTTAAAACCCCTCTTTCATGCGCATTTCTCTTGTTTATAAATTTGTTGCTTCTTCTCTAAGTTTGCTGAGTCCTAATCTCTATCTAGCAAAGTGAGTAGGTACATACGTATAAATATAGAGAGAGAGCGTCAGAGATCAGAGAAATGAGTTTTGGCTCCTTCTTATCTACTCTCACATACTGTTTGTTCCTTCGCCATCCACATAAAAAGTCAAAGCTCAATAGTGTGAGCCACCATAACTATTACCACACCAAGCCAATGTCTCGTCCACTTTCTTTACAGGTATTTTCTTTCCTTTTCTCTTATAATCAACCATAATTTTCATGTATTTAAATAGTTTAGTCTCAAATTGACTCTATGATCATGATATTAGTTTTTCATTAAATAGAATAAATTTTGGTAACAATATTCTTTCAAACCGTTTCTTATTTTGATACATGCCTAATTGAACGAAGAGTGCAAATGATTTTTTGCTTTTAGGGAAAGAGAGGTATGAATTTGTTGTTTGTGGTGATGGTAGCTAGAGCTAATCTAATCAACTAAGTTGTTTTAACTAAACATAGAGATCAAAGTTCAAACTAATTAGCTGATGTCCTCTAATTGTGTAAATAAATTGGCAAATAAGATTCTCGATCGCAAAAAGAATCTTAAAGTACTACTCATTGTGTCCATTTTTTTCTTTCTTTTGTATGTTAAAAAATGTCTTTTCATTTTTTATTGATTCGTTTAGAGGAATCGGACAAAACTGAAGCGGAATGTCATAAGTTTGTCTCACTAGTGGATGTTACTATATATGATTATAATATCCTTTGGCTGATTCAGCAGAGAGAGTTGGTCGTTTAAATAATTGTTCTCCTAATTACCTTTTTCTTTATACATACATATATCACATATTAATACTAATTAGTTTGTAATATATGAATGATGCGAATTATCAGACAATAGACTTGAAAGTAAGGATGTGCTGCAGTGGATGTGAGAGGGTGGTCAAGCATGCCATTTACAAGCTGAGAGGTAATTAATGTCATAATTCATTAGTATTTTTTTTTCTTTTCTTTGTAAAATGTTTTGGTTAAATACACGTATATTTAAAATTTATGTGATATTGTATAATACTCTCTCTGTTTCACAAAAAGTGTCATTGTACCATTTTGCATACAAATTAAAAAAAAACATTTAAATTTCTTCTTTTTTATTAATAACTAAAATCGTTTCTCTCTAATTAATAAGTTAAAAAAAAACAGGGATAAACTGAGATTTGATTTAAAACTCTGTATTGAAAACACAAAACGATATTTTTTATGAAAAAAAAAAACTTAAGACTATTTGTGAAACAAAAGGAGTATAAATTATGGTCATAGAAGAATAATTTTAAACTTTTCTTAACAAAATATGAACAAAAATTGCTAAAACATGAACATCCTATAGAAGAGATGGAGTAGTAATTAATATTGTGAATATATCAAAATAGTAACTAAACGGGTGTTGTGTTGGTGGTGGTGAAGGGGTGGACTCGGTGGAGGTGAACCTGGAGATGGAGAGAGTAACGGTGGTTGGGTACGTAGAGAGGAAGAAGGTTCTCAAGGCGGTGAGAAGAGCCGGTAAACGAGCCGAGTTCTGGCCCTACCCGGACATGCCTCGCTACTTTACTTCTTCCGACCATTACTTCAAAGATACCACCCGTGAGTTCAGGGAGAGCTACAACTACTATCGCCATGGCTACAATCTTAGCGACCGTCATGGTAACATCCACGTCACCAACCGTGGCGACGACAAAATGAGCAACTTTTTCAACGACGACAACGTCCACGCCTGTAGCCTTATGTAATTACCTCTCTTTTTAGGTATCTATGTGTTTATACATGTTGTATCGTTTATATATAGGGTTGATTAATTAGTTTTTATGCATAAGCATAAGTGAGACAAGAAAAAGGAACACAATTATTTTGCTGTTTTATGTTTTATATAAACAAAAAAAAATCTCCGAAGATGTATCTACTTTTACATGGTATCAAACTCGGTCCTTTCCTATATAACATGTACATTTACATGCTATAAGGCTGATAATAAATATTAAATTAGTGGCCACTGTTTGAAATTGCTAATGGTCTAATGATAATATGCATTAACCGATCCTCTTTCATTTTACATGACGATGTTCATGGTCCAACCATTTATTTATTTTTTGCCTTTAGGCCTACTGAAATATCCGGACAAACCACGTCTTTCTCAACTTAACTTAACCTATCGCAATCTGTCTCTCTGTTTATCTTTGTCTTTCAATCTCTTAAGATCAGATTGTGTAACTTCTATGGTCTATAGTCCTATACTCTATAAAATGCTTGGGCTCTTGGGTTTTATTTTGGGCCCAAACGAACAACACACTAATGACACGACCGGCCCACTAAGAGAGGTAAATTTTCAAAATAATTCTAGAATAATAGACCTTTTTTATGTCTACTAATAATGTACTCTCAATCTCTCATAAATCATAGAAGTTATTGATCATAAAAAAGAAAAAAGAAACTGAACATGGTTTTTTCTTATTGATCTTTTTCTTTTGTAATCATATCTAAGGAACTCACATTTTTTTTTTGCTAAGAAAACTCACAATTTTTTCTTAATTGGAGAAATTGGATCGTCGAATCTTTGTACACTATAAACAGTAAAAATCACTCGTGAAAAAATTCTAATTCTTTAACAAAAAAAAAAAAAAAAAAGTCTGATTGGAAAACACTGTTTTGTAAAAAAAGAAAACAATAAACAACAACAAAATAGTTATAAATTGTAAGAAAAATGTAAATAATTAAAAAAATAGAGTAAATAATTCATATTCCAAGTTGTTTTCTTTACAAAGATTACCAAGCAAATTCAAAGCTTTCGTTAGTTCAATTCTTAAGAAAAAAAAAAGAAAAAAAATAGCAAAATAATTTTTTGACTTCATGTTATTTGACGTATTCGTCCGAATATGTTCTTCATCGATCGGACCAAATAAAAAAGAAACAGCAAGTTGATTCTCACGTGTCGCTTTACTAATTGACATCTGACGTGTACACGAACGTCAAGTCATTTCCGTGCAACGCAAGCTTCCTTCCTCTGCAAGTCTCTTACTTTTTTTTGCTTCCCTCAAAAAGTCTTTAACTAGTATTTCTCTATTGGTCATACTTTATTTTAAATGTGAAACCGACAAAAGTATTTGCCATGTGCTTTCTATAAAGCTATCTTCTCTTTCTCACATTTTTAACTCATCCCTCTGTTCTTAAACCTTTTCTCAAATCTCTCACCGGAATAAAAATCTCTAGGTCATCGGAAAAATTTTGCTTCATCCGAAATGTTTGCTTCATCGGATTTCTCTTTCTCACCGTCGTCGCTGTTCTCAGCGTACGCATCTTTAACTGGATTCTTGATGCTTTTTAGATCGATGCTCCATGATTTCGTACCGGAGAAGCTTCGATCTTACTTCTCTAGCTTACTCGACCGGTTTTTCACTCCGAAATCGAAGAATCTGACCGTGATTATCGACGAGAACTTCGGATTGAACCGGAATCAAGTGTTCGACGCGGCGGAGATGTATCTCCGGAACAAGATCGGACCTGATACAGAGCGGTTGCGAGTCGGTAAGATCCCTAAACAGAAACATTTCACAATCTCAATCGAAAAAGGCGAAGAGATCTTCGATACTTACGAGGATTCCGAGGTGAAATGGAGTTACATTCAATCGGAGAACGAGAAAGGAGATAAAGTGAAACGTTACTACGAGCTCACATTCGAGAAGAAGCTTAGAGACAAAGTCATGAACTCGTATCTAAGCCACGTTGTAGCGGAATCGGAGGAGATTAAGCGGAATCTGAGAGTGGTGAAGCTTTATAGCAGAGATGTGTATGCGAGTGATGATGATGATGGAATGGCTGGTGGGAATTGGGGATGTATCAATCTCGAGCATCCGTCGACCTTCGATACATTGGCGATGGATCCAAATGCGAAGAAGAAGATAATCGATGATTTGGAGAGGTTTTTGAAGAGAAGAGAGTTTTACAAGAGAGTTGGTAAAGCTTGGAAACGAGGTTACTTGTTGTATGGACCTCCAGGAACTGGTAAATCGAGTTTGATTGCTGCGATGGCGAATTACTTAAAGTTTGATGTGTTTGATCTTGAGCTTAGTAGTATTTATGACAATGGTGAATTGAAGAGGGTTTTGTTATCTACTACGAATCGTTCGATTTTGGTTATTGAGGATATTGATTGTAATGCTAAGGTGAGAGACAGAGAAGCTGAGAATCAAGAAGACGAAAATAGTAATGGAAAGGTGAGATCTTTTGAATTTGTGATTTGGTTTTGATTTTTGAGAGAATTTATTGGTTCTTAGTTCTGACTGTGATATTTTCTTGAGCAGGTGACACTATCAGGGATTCTGAATTTCATTGATGGGTTATGGTCGAGTTTTGGGGACGAGAGAATCATCGTGTTCACGACGAATCACAAAGAACGGCTTGATCCTGCTCTGCTACGTCCTGGAAGAATGGATGTGCATATCAACATGTCTTATTGTACAGGTTTAGGATTTAGGACATTGGTCTCTAATTACCTTGGTTTAGATGGCATAAACCATCCTCTATGCGAGGAAATCGAGGCGCTGATCGATTCTACTGAAGTTACTCCAGCTGAGTTAGCGGAAGAGCTGATGCAAGACGATGATACTGATGTTGTTCTTCGTGGAGTTATAAGCTTTGTTGAGAAGAGGAAGGTTGAGAGAAGCAAGACTAAGGAGGAGGTTTCTATTTGTAAAGCAATTGATGATGACGAAAAACAGAATGGTTCTTTGGATTGTGTAAAGAAGAAGAAGAAAGGTGGTAAACAAAAAGGAAAAGGGAAAGGGAAAGGAAAGGCCAAGACTTATTAGATAAGAGATATCTTTGTACAATATGTGATGTGTTGTGTTGTGTAACTTGGTAAATCAAGCTTGTGTTTAACACTACTAAGCCTAATAAATAAAGCTTGTATGGTTCTCAACTTCTACTTTTGACATAAGCTTCCAAGAAAATAGTTTTTTACAAAAGTTATCTAAAATTACCGTAACTAACACGAGTGAATTTCAAAATCCAAGTAAACGAGAAAACATGTTTTTAGATAACTTCGGTATAAAATTTCCAGAAAATAATTCCAGAAGTTCAAAGATCATTCCGGAAGTTAATATTTTCAAAACTGCCACACTCTCTAGTCTCTATATACACGCTCTAGGGACAAACCACCACGTCTTTCTCAACTGAATCTTTCACAATTATTTGTCTCTGTCTTTCTGTTTCTTAAGATCACATTCAAGATTTTTATTTATGGTTGGTTGGTAAAGCACGTTTGTATATTTTACCAACAATGGCAGTAAGTATCTATCCAATATATTAATATTGTAGTTCATGTTATTTAATTTAGATTTTAGTTCTGCTTCCTGATTTAGAATAAATTCAAATTATTAGCTAAAATTTTTTTAACTTAACACATACATGATTTGGAATTATCGATACGATTTTTTTTCCCAGCAAAATCAGAATTTCATTGATTTAAAAGAGTATATATATATATATATATATATATAGAATTATTAGAATACAATTATACATACGCAGATGTATATGTAATACACTGTGTATGTGTAATACAATAAAAAAATATAAGATAAGGGAGATTGACAATAATTTCCGAAGATTAGTCTTACTCGTTAACCGACTATAAGATTTGTTATTGTCCAACTTCATATTTAATTTTTTTCTGTTACTATTGGCATGCAATAACTTGTGGCTGAAATTTATTTTTGCAAACCGTAGCTTTAAAATGATCACTAAAATGATGTCTAGTGATAACAGATTTTTTTTTAGGTTATGATAGATTTATTTAATATTAACAAAAATCTAGCGTTTTATACCATATTTGTTAATGATTTTTTTTTTACTAGAATGACCTATAGCGGAAACATATATGTTTTATCTTATGCCATAATTTATTTTATGTTATGACAAATGTATTTTGGATTACAAAAATTCTAGCGTTTGATAGAAGATTTGTTAAAGAAAAAAAGAAATTGCTCCAATGACCTATTTATTGACAACATACTAGTTTTATGTTATGACAGATTGTATTTTGAATCTTATGATGACAACTTTATTGTTATCTTGTGTTCGCTGATTTTTAAAATATAATTTTGTTTTCAGTGGTTACAGACTTTGATTGACGGATTCTTTTTGAAGGTTTAAAATCAGTTTACGACAGACTTAAATGTTGCGGCTTACTTTTTAACAATGTTCAAAAAAGCGCTAGGCGGTATCTAGGCGGCGACCTTCAGCCTAGCGCCTAAAACGCCTAGTCGGGGCCTAGGCGATTTTAAGCGGATTAGGCGGTTTTAGCATTAAACACTATATATATATATATATCTATATATACATTTTTGAATGACTTTTAGCAAATAAATCCTGGAGTTGGACCTTATTTACGGATGAATGCCATTGGCATTAATTATTTAAATTTGAAAAATATTACTTAAAAATATTACCAATACGATTTCGAGAATCATAAATTCATATCTTCCTTAATTTTCTGAGTCATTAATGTGATAATCTTTAGGAAATATTTCTCTGTAAAAAAAAAAATCCACATTAATGAAGGCATTAAAATCGACACTAACAATTAAATTATTTAGATGTTCAATTATTTTAAGATTCTTATATCTTATTTGATATTTTTTTTTTAATATCTCATTCTTTAATTACTGCGTTTAGAATTTATTGGTTGTTACCTATTTTTTGGTGAAATTTATTGGTTGTTACTTAATAAGTAATTATGGTGCGTTTATTTTAGTTAATATCTAATTTAAAGGATTTGTTTTCTTTTATTATTAATAAATGAATAACATGTATAGAAATAAAAGATTTTTTTTGCGACTCCATAATAAAAATATTAAACTCTTATTTTCTACATTTCTTACAAATAATATCCTCTTATTCAATAACAAAAAATATATATTACATATTTTTAAAAATATT